AATTGAAAAAAGTAGGGGAAAGCACTAGGCCGCTCAGGTATGAACTAAATCATATTCCTGATGAATATACAGTAGAGGTGACAAATAGATTTAAGGAATTAGATCTGATAGACAGAATGCCTGAAGAACTATGGATGGAAGTTCGCAACATTGTATAAGAGGTAGCAACTAAAACCATCCCAAAGAAAAAGAAATGCAAGAAAGCAAAATGGCTGTCTGAGGAAGCTTTGCAAATAGCTGATGAAAGAAGGGAAGCTAAAGGCAAAGGAGAAAGAGAAAGATACACCCAATTGAATGCAGAATTCCAGAGAGTAGCTAGAAGAGATAAGAATGCCTTCTTAAATGAACAGTGCAAAGAAATAGAAGAAAACACCAGAATAGGGAGGACCAGAGATCTCTTCAAGAAAATTGGAGATATGAAGGGAACGTTTCATGCAAAGATGGGCATGATAAAGGACCAAAATGGCAGAGACCTAACAGAGGCAGAAGAGATTAAGAAGAGATGGTAAAACTACACAGAAGAACTATACAAGAATGAGCTTAACATCCCAGATAACCACAATGAGATGGTCATTGACCTCAAACCAGACATCCTAGAATGTGAAGTGAAATGGGCCTTAGAAAATCTGAGTAACAACAAAGCTAGTGGAGGTGACAGTATTCCAGCTGAGCTATTCAAAATCTTAAAAGACGATGCAGTAAAAGTGCTACACTCCATTTGCCAGCAAATTTGGAAAACTCAACAGTGGCCACAGGATTGGAAAAGGTCAGTTTACATTCCAATTCCAAAGAAAAGCAATGCCAAAGAATGTTCAAACTATCGCACCATTGCACTCATTTCACATGCTAGTAAAGTTATGCTTAAAATCCTACAAGCTAGACTCCAGCAGTATGTGGATCGAGAACTACCATAAGTACAGGCAGGATTTCGAAGAGGCAGAGGAACTAGAGATCAAATTGCCAACATACGCTGGATCATGGAGAAAGCTAGGGAGTTCCAGAAAAACATCTACTTCTGCTTCATTGACTATGCTAAAGCCTTTGATTGTGTGGATCACAACAAATTGTGGCAAGTTCTTAAAGAGATGGAGTACCAGACCATCTCATTTGTCTCTTGAGAAACTTATATGCGGGTCAAGAAGCAACAGTGAGAACTGGACACGGAACCACTGATTGGTTCAAAATTGGAAAAGGAGTCCGGCAAGGCTGTATACTGTCACCCTGCCTATTTAACTTATACGCAGAGCACATCATGAGAAAGGCAGGGCTAGATGAATCAAAAGTTGGAATTAAGATTGCCGGGAGAAATATCAACAACCTAAGATATGCAGATGATACCACTCTAATTGCAGAAAGTGAAGAGGAACTAAAGAGCCTCTTGATGCGGGTGAAGAAGGAGAGTGCAAAAGTAGGCTTGAAACTCAACATTAAGAAAACCAAAATCATGGCATCCGGCCCTCTCAATTCCTGGCAAATAGATGGGGAAAAATGGAGGTAGTGACAGATTTTATTTTTCTGGGCTCAAAGATCACCTCAGATGGGGACTGCAGCCAAGAAATTAAAAGACGCTTGCTCCTGGGGAGGAAAGCTATGGCAAATCTAGACAGCATTCTAAAAAGCAGACATCACCCTGCCAACAAAAGTGCGTATAGTCCAGGCCATGGTTTTCCCAGTTGCAATGTATGGCTGTGAAAGTTGGACCATAAGAAAGGCTGAGTGCAAAAGAATTGAGGCCTTTGAACGATGGTGCTGGAGAAGACTCCTGCGAGTCCCTTGGACTGCAAGGCGTTCAAACCGGTCAGTCCTAGAAGAGATCAACCCCGACTGCTCTTTAGAAGGCCAGATCCTGAAGTTGAAACTCAAATACTTTGGCCACCTAATGAGAAGGAAGGACTCACTGGAGAAGGGCCTAATGCTGGTAAAGATTGAGGGCAATAGAAGAAGGGGACGACAGAGAATGAGATGGCTGGATGGAGTCACTGAAGCAGTAGGTGTGAACTTAAATGGACTCCAGAAGATGGTAGAGGACAAGAAGACCTGGAGGAACGTTGTCCATGGGGTCGCGATGGGTCGGACACGACTTCGCAATTAACAACAACAACATGTATATATACATTCAAATAAAAAAAAAGTATAAATATTCTAGAAGTGAATACATTCATTTCCCTCCAAATCTCACTCCAAATCAATTATTTTGTTGCAGGGTCCTTGGTGCTCTCTGAGCATGGTAGGGGGTTTTTTGCAGACGTTTCATAATCAAACTAGGTAACATCATCAGTGCATGACAGTAGTGGTGATGAAATGTCTACAAGAAAACCACCATGCTCGGAGAGCACCAAGGACCTCACAGTTCAACTCTGAGCTGCAGATATTCTCTCCTATCAATTATTTTGTTAATTTGCACCCTACTTCTACTCACTTTTCTCAGTTCATTCTTTGGGAGGTGGGAATTCTGATCTCTCTATCTCCTTTTTGCTGTTTAATTATTTTCCTTCCTACTATTGAACCTGTTGTTGTTGCTACTTGATTCCATAAACTGGAGTTAGAGAAGTTAGTCCCATTGTCTCTTAAGGCGTGCATTGGGAAGCAGGCTTCTCTGCCAAGGGTTTGGTTTGGTACTGCCTTTGCACTTTGTCTTTGCACTTTCCCCAGTAAGGAGCCCTTCACTGAATATCCTTCCTTCTTTCCACACCCAACTACAACCCTGAGTTGTTGCATTCGACAACACGTCTATGGGGGAAATGGCAACTCCTGGAATTGCTTAGTATTTTAAAAAGAAGAAGAAGAAATCTTGGTATCTTGTACTTTTCCCTGAGAATCAGGGTCCTGGGAATTTTACTGAATAAACTGTATGAATATACCTTCAAAGATGCATTTTGTTCAGATGTCATCAAATGGAGGTGGATTTTTTTTCCTAACCCTTTCCATTTGTATTGTGGCTCAGCACAAATTTTCCTAATGGGTTTATTACTTCGTGATTTGCTGCTTCAGAAAGGATTTTTAAATACAAAGGGTGACAGAAACTTGTTAAGATTCCTGATAATGATATGCAAGAAATTCACCTGAAATTCTGTATTTCTGCAGGATAACTAGTATCCGACATGAGGATTTGCCATCCCTTGAGTGAAGAAGGTAGAAGGAACAACCACACTTCCTGAGGATTCAAGGCAGGGCATTCAGAAACATATGGCACATTCTGGTAGTAGTAGACACGGTTAACATTCAAGGCCACACTTAGAGAGAGGGAAAAGAGTGGCTTGTTCCCTGCCAAGTCTAAATAACGATATTTGAATATGGGGGGGGGGGGAGAGAGAATGGAAGAGTAAAAGCAGTATCGTGCCAAGATCTGCTCAGTTCTTGAAATGGAGAAATTTAAATCATCCATCTTGCTGTCACTGCGGCCTTCAAAGAGCACTGATGTTCACTCTGCCAACTTCTGCTACTCTGTATAAAAATGTTATTTGATTTCCTCCTCCAACTTGCAGTATGCAAAATCATTCTTTTTTAAGCTTTTGTCGCCCTCTGGTGGAATTTATTCAGGTGCTTCCTGAACAATAATTGGAAGATCTGGCTACTCTTGAAAACTAACAAGGAAAATATAAGATTCAAAACATCCTTCCAGGAGAGTGTTATGGGAAATAATCTATGTTCTCTTTTTTCTTTCATTTATAGCACCAACTACATAAGGGTAAATAAAATATTTGAAACCAGTTGCCTTACAGCAATAATAGTAATAGCACTGAGAGTTATATACCGCCCCATAAATCTTTACAGCACTGTCTGTATAGTTTACACTGTACAGCATTATTTGCATATTGCTTCCAACAAACTGGGTCCTCATTTTATTGACCTCAGAAAGACGGAAGGCTGAGTCAACCTTGACTCCCATCAGGATCAAATTCCAGGTTGTGGGCAGAATTTGCCTGCAATACTGCACTTTAACCACTGTGCCTCCAGTGTTTATAATAGCAATGTAAATATTTGCTGCCCAGAACAGACACTTTACTTTTTTTTAACAATATGCCCTTTAAAATTCTAAGGAGTAACACCTACTATTGCATATAGCAACTTTATTTTATGGGTTGATAGTATAAAGCAGGCATGTCAAACTCGCGACGTCATATGATGTTGCGCAATGTATTGCAACTTTTTCCCCATTGCCGGTAATGCGGTGGGTGCGGTTTCGACATGATGCATCCAGCCCGTGGGCCGGCATTGACATGCCTGTTATAAAGGGTTGGTGCTGTAGGAAATCGTCAGCTCAGACAGAACTTCTGTGGAATTTATCAGAGCATTCCTGTGTGCTCAAAAGCTATATTCTGTCAAGTCATTTGATAGAAATATGAATAAAAGTGCATACGATTTTCAATTACTGTACCTAAGTGGCCAGCAAAACACACATCGGAATATAGGAATTTCACTTTTTTCCCCCGATCCTATAAATACAATCTAGTATATTTACAAATTATTCTTTCCCTAAGACTAGGAGATTGCTAATCAGTTAGAATTCTTTGCAACCTTAGAAGCAGCATTTAAAACCGCAGGACTTGCCACAGAATAAAAAAAAAACATAAAGCGGACAATCACACCACAAACTAGAGCACAGAATCAGAACCAACTTAAAGCAGAGGACAGAGCAGCCCTCAAATACCTAAAGAAGGACTAACCATTCTCCTCCTTCAAGCAGACAAAGACTGTATCATGATTATCATGGATAGATCATTATACACATAAAAACCCAAAGAATTACTGGAAGACAAAGAAAGCTACATCCTTGTAAACGCCAACCCAATATAGAAACTAGATGTTTTGATCAAGAGAACTCTTAAGAACCTAACCAGAAATGGTCAAATCATCAAACAACAGAGGTGGATGAAAAGCAGGAGACCCATCCTCCCCTGATCCTATTGATGCCCTAAAATACAGAAGCCCAAAATATCTCTTTGCCTAATTGTATTGTTACCAGGGAGTCCAACATATAGCATAGTTAAAGTACTTACAGAAAAGCCTGGACATCTGAAAGAGGGGAATGGATATTCTAGGAATTCACTACTACAGTTCCTCCAGAAAAATCGAAGACCTAATAATAGAAAAAAATGAGGTTATAGTTTCATTTGATGTCACAGCATACATTCATAGACCCAGAACTAACTTAAGAATCCATGGGAGTAGTATTACACAACAAAACACAACCTAACCAAATACACTAAAATTGAAATGCTCAGAATCATGAACCTTACCAACCTCTGCCTCATTGCCTACTTTTAGTTTAATGGGAAAATATACCAACACATCAGCATAACAGCATGTGGAACACCCATGGGATCACTACTCTCAGGACACATAACAGAGATTTTAATGCAGTGTCTAGAAACTACTACTACTACTACTACTACTATTACTAATAATAATAATAATAATAATAATAATAAACCCTTTATTATCAAAGTATAACATGTATACAGTGAAATTGGCTGAGCCTCCCTCTGTGCCCCCCCTCACCACAAACTCACAGTGACTACAATACTCCGGTGCATAGAAGTGTGGATCCAGTATGTAGATGATACTTTTGCCATAATAAAAAAGGAACAACTAGAGAAGTTGTTCTCTAGAGAACTAGAGAATCAGCAACATCTTCAAAGAGATAAAACTCACAAGGGAAGAAGAAGAAAAAACATACTGCCCTTCCTGGATATCCTCATCAACAGAGGAAATGAAGGCAAATTAGAAACAGAAATCTGTCATAAAACCACCCACATTAACCAAGTGCTCCATTATCAGAGTAACAACCCAACCTCTCACAAGAGGAGCTGTGCAAAGAACATTATTCAGATGAGCACAAACATACTGCAGCAAGCCAAAACACCAGAAAGAGGAAACAGAATATCTGTATAACATTTCCCAACAAAATGGATACACTCACACAACTTTATCAAAAAGTTTCTTACCAACTGCCATATATCAAAAACATCTCTAAAACAACCAACAGTTTATTACAACCATATGGCATCACTATAGCACAGAAACAAACTAAAGCCTTCCAAAATATCTTCAGTAAACCAAAAGATCCAATAACCCAAAGAGAAAAAAATCAGGAGGCATCTACAGCATACAGTGTAAGGACTGTAATAATGCTATGTAGAATAGCCAGACAAAAGACTAATAGAAAGCATCCACTATCAATCAGAAGACATGATACAAACTCCTTAATTTCACACACACGACAGAATAGGAATTGTGAGCAAGCTAAATCCAAAAATGCTAGGGAATTCCTGGTATCTTGGAATTCAGACTGATCAGCTATCAACAGGCACATAGAGATAAACAACTTCCTTTTTATGACCCTGTAATCCCTTAATTCAGGGTAGAGTTGGGGTGACTGGATAGAGCTGAGCATTTACTGACCGGATGCCCTTCCTGGCACCTACGTGGAGTTCACAGCAGATATTTTTTCTTTGCACCCTGCGAAAGAAATATCTGCTGCTACCTAGGATTGAACTCTCAACCCTTTGAGTGGAAAGCCATAATCTTCACCACTAGGCCACCATGCTGTTCTCATAGTGGTAAACAACTTTTACAAACACTACTCAAAAGAGACAATAAAAAAGTTAAAGAAGAAGCAAAAAGACTAGAACATTTCATCTCCAGCAATTCACTATCAGATAAGCAAAGATTAACACTAGGGTTAATACTAGACAAACAAGCAGTAAACAATATACTAATCAAGGAAATGCCAATGCAGACAAACATTCAAGTAGTAAACAACAGCTTAATCAAGGAACTACCAAGGAGAAAACAAGAAAACAAGATTGACAGGACAAGCCACTATAGAGAGCAAATCCCATTCCTTTCTAGCACTGGAAATGTAACTTAGTTATGTTTGCATGAAGTAACACCACAATCATATTTTTTCTCAATAATGTAGTTGTAGTTATAACACTCTTCCTATTTTGCTTAGTTGGTTATATTGTATTAGTAAACAAAGAGACAAGTTGACATTTAAGTTAACATCTGGTTCTTAGGCTGCCAGCACAGCACATACACATAGACACAAAAGTATCAATCAAAATGACTACTGATGTAAACTGTTTATTTAAACAATGAACAACAGTTTACAATAACTGAAAGTTGATCATGTGTTGTTTATGGTTCCTTGGATACTAGAAGTATTATTTACAAGAACTAAGATTCATTATTGTTAAGTTTACTGAAAGTTAGAAATCTGTGCAACTTCACTGCACAGTCAAACATTTGCAAAGGTAAAACATTTCATTCAGTTAGCACTTGAACACCATTGAGATTTTAATAAGCTTAAAATGTAAAATATATCAACTAACACACATAAGATCCTAAGGTCTTACATTATGATAATTATTTTTTTCTTTAATAGTTTAGTAAATTGGAAAATATTCAGTGTTTTGCCTTCCTCAAGCATTTGGAAAGCACAGCTCTGACATCACTGCTCTAAACAGAATTAACATTTACTCAGTGGAAACTTCTGTTTCTGATAAAACATGGAATAGTTTTAAACCTTAAACTGTTCTAACAAGTTCTAGACTGGCTGATCTGCTATATATTGACTAGATTCACAAGTAAGATAAAAATACAAATGTCACTTGTATGCCATCAATGTTGGCATAGAAAGCACCCTTGTAAAGAATTCCATTTAGCACTCTTCCCAGAAAGCATTTTTTTAAAAAATCAAAATGTATTATATGTAATTACATACCAATAATTTTCTGAGCATCTGCTGGATTGCATGTAACATTTCTGTCACTATTTTTGGTAGGTCAATGCAAATACAGTCAGTGAGAGTGCATTATTGATATTTTATCTACTTCTCTTTTCTTTTACTTACAACCAGCATCTCTTCTTCCAATGTGATATGCTTGTGTAGTGCACAATTTGCTCATTAGGTTGCAGCAGCCATGAATCTCCCAATTATGTAATATGTAAATGAAGAACCTAAAGAGCAAGATAAGAGCTCAGACTGCTTATCTTCCTTCTCCTGTAATGACTTGCTCTCTTTCACCCACAATTGCATTCCCCTGCTTATCTCTCCTTTCAGAGAGCAACGCTGGCTGTGGAATTCTGGGAGTTGAAGTCCACATGCCTTAAAATTGTCAAGTTTGGGAAACACTGTCCTAGAGGGCTGAGCTGAGTGTAAGAGCCTAAACCTCTTGAGCCATATCAGCTCTCTTCACCAAGTCTATCACCACCATAGCCAGTCAACATTTATAACCTGGTCTGTCTGCAGTGTGGCAAGCCATTCTAGCCAGCCTACTACTTCCATTCCATTTCTATCTTTCTTGCCATGTCCCCCATTCCTACCCTTAATTTCCAATTCTTCTTAATAAAATTACCATATAACAAAACTAAGGTGAATTAGTATAATGCCCTTGCTACTTCTCTATTGCAGCCTAATCTTCTGATAGGCCAACAAGTAAAGGAAATATATGGAGATAAGGGAGCTTTACTCTATAAGAAAACACAAATTCATTTTCAAATCTGATTTTTCAGGGAAGACCACACACACACAAAAAGGCATCTTAGAGCCTCCAGAAATTGTGGATGTTCCAACATTGGAAGTTTTTAAGAAGAGACTGGACAACCATTTGTCTGAAATTGCATAGGGTTTCCTGCCTGAGCAGGGGGTTGGACTAGATGACCTCCAAAGTTTCTTCCAACTCTATTATTATCATTATCATTATTATATCAGTTCTTATATATAAAATCTTAAATGAATAAGCAATGCTTGATTTGATGTAATATATCAAATCAAGCATTGATGAAGATATCCCCATTAATCTATCAAATTATTAGTTTACCTTCTGGAGTTGCTGGAAGGCTTAACAGTATACACCTTGCAAAGAAATTGGTATCTGGGCACGTATGTTGCTCATGTAGGGTTTGTGCATATGGTAATTGGTTACATTTCTGAAAGCTTTTCAAGTCTAAGTTAAACATTCTTTTTTAAAAAAAAATAATGACATATACATAATTTTCTAATTTAGCACTAATGATACATAGTCTGGAGCAACTACAGTATTGCGTACTGTATATCTTTCTATCTCTAAAAAAGAGCAGGCAATGATGAGACTTTTCTCCAGAACTTTATTATAGATTCCTATTTCTTTTTAGTCATTAACCAAAGAGTTCTGTCTTCAAAACAAATTTAAGATGCCAAGAAGAGCAGAGAGCTTCCCAGAATGCTAATTACTATGATTATTCATTCTGATACATTGGTACAGTCTCTGAACTTGTCATTTTCTTCTATACAAATTGGCTAGCAAATCCATCCTTTCCTTTTTTAAAAACCACTACTCACTTCATGCACCAATTATAATTCTTTATCTCTTGTTACAACTTCCTGACTCTAAAGAGATTCATCATTCATAGACTCACTGAAATTCAATACAGGAACCCTGTGTTGAAGTTGGAAGTGGTTGAAGGCTCGAGAGCTAATTGTTTAACAAGTCCGTTAACTCTTGAGGTAAAGTTCAACACTCTAATTACTGGCTTCACATTTCTGTGAAATGCTTCCATAGGAATGGAATGGTTTATCTCTTATAAAGTCCAGATTAATTTCATATGGCTTATGAGTGCTAATTAAAAGCTTCTTGGTTCATATAACATGTTTTAAACTCAACTATTCCTTGAATGTTGTTACCATTTGCTTTCACTAGTATGTGCATATGAATTCATTTCTGAAAAATCTAGAAACATGATGCTATTTTCCAGAGGTGTACAAATAGAAGTCTGTGCATGCATACTATAAAAAAAAATTCTAAGGAATGATAGTGTGGGCAAAGAATTTTGGTTATTCTATAGATTTAGAAGATTGGCAAAAACTATGGGACCGAAATATTAAATTTACTGAAGCAGCTGCATATAAGGAAAACTTATATAAAATGTTTATAGATGGCACATGACACCAGTTAGATTAGAGAAAATGTTTAAAAATGTATCAAATACATTTGATACATTTGTGTTGGAAATGTAAACAACAACCAGGCACTTATTACCATCTCTGGTGAATATATCCTAATGTTAAAAAATTTTGGTTTAAGATTCATATGTGGCTAGAAGAGATGATTAAAATACAGATAGAATTTAAACCAGAACTCTGTTTGTTAGGAATATTAGGTTTGAATTATAGAAAAGAGAATGAGTATTTAATATTGCATGTGCTGACAGCCTCAAAAATAATATTTGCCCAATTTTGGAAAAATGAAAATTTACCATCTGATCAGGCTATAGTAACAAAAATACTTGAATGTGCAGAAATGGATAGACTGACTTTAGAAATGAAAGAGAAAGAAGACACAATTTACTTTAAAACATGGGGAAATTTTTATTATTGGTTAGAAACACACTAGAATGAGAAAAGGTTATGAAATTTAACAAGATAATTGATAATTTGTATTTATATTCCATGATTATTTGTATGAACTTGTTATTATTTGTTCTTCTTCCTCTTTGTATATTTGTGATCTTAAATAATATGGTAAACTATAATTAATATGTAGTATATTATTATTTTAAAGTGATTATAATTAATATTAAGCATTATTAAGTAGCGAAATGAATGAGATTGACTAATTTGTTATTTACATGATTATATGGAAAGTTGTTTAATAATAGAGTAGTTATTAAGATTTAATATGTAAACCCGGACTGGTAGACTTGCTGAAGCGATGTTATTTTGTGGGATTAATCCCACTTATGTGTTATCCCTTTTTCCTGGTCTAGCCTTTTTGTATGTTTCCTGTTGTCTTACCCTTTTTGACCCTATCCCCTCATTACCTTTATAAAACTCAATAAAAATATTTATAAAAAAAATCCTAAGGAAATGGCTATTTCAAAATGGGGAATGTATCTATGTTGCATGTTTGATTATATTACAAATATGTTGCAGGACATAATATATTGTATCCAACTTAACCAAGCTCCCGATATATAAGTCAACATGTATTTCTAACATCAAGAAGAAGAATCAGTAAATAAGTAAGAAAAAATAATAAAATTGCCAAATAAGTAACAAGGAGGGCACCAGGTGAGGTGGAGACATGCATTTTGTAGATAACAAGAAGATGGTCTATGCAAACTGCATAGTATTTCCAATTCTTGCTGTGCACCAGAATTATATTTTAAATGGAGTATTTATTTGTCCATAGGAAAAATGACAGTTTTGCTTTAAAATGTTCAACAAACCCATTTCACTGCTTTTATACGTAGCATCAGCTTATGATTGTACAAAATTCCTATGTTTTCTAACTTGAGTTCCTATTGCTACTCTTTTAATGCTCTTGAATATATTATGCTTTTGTACAGTCTGCTTGTTCTGAAATTGCATTGCATAGATGTTTTGTCCAATAGAATAAGGAACTTCATCACTTTCCCATAGAGAAAAATAGATGCACTTAAATGGCCTAAAATACTAATTGGCATATGAGTAGAGCAAAGCACAATAAAGGGGAAGCTCTTTTAAGAATGCATAATAATTGTGTACGTGCAAACACAAATAATTATTTTTAAAAAGCATGCTCAAATTTGTAGTATCCTTTTGCAGCTTCTAGCTTCTATCTGCATCTCTTTCTTAGGACAGATTGTTCTCTGCCTGTTTTCCTTCCCTGAATGTTCAGTGTGCCAGTTTTTGAAGTAAAGCAAGATAGGATTTGCCTTTCAAGTTGGCGCTGTAGCACGGCCTGCAGCATGGCAGCAATTTGAGTTTGAAGTACACAATCAGTGTTGTGCATTCAAAAGACTTTTGAACTAGACTTTTTCAAACAGTCCCTTTCCTTCCTCCACTGTCACATGATGTTCCTCTTTTAGAACAGATAACCTTTTACTGCATGTGTGTAGCTTGTGAAATGTCCTGGAGCTTTGTACTTTGAAGGAGAAAAGCGTTTACTGAGTTTCCTTGTCCTGCACACTCTACTTTAAACTAGCTTTAGATTTTGAATATAAACCAGGCATTGGCAACTAAAACAATCCCAGCAGTGTTTAATGAAATCCAAAGAATGGCAAGAATAACTGTGGCTCTTTTAACTCAATTTAAGTTTCTAATTGTTACAGAGTTAAGAAAAAAAGCCCAGAAATTAATTGCCAAGTAGCATAGAAAATGGCTTATCAATGCATCTATAGCTATAATCATTTAATGAAAAAAATGTCACTAAATGAATACAGAATTTGTGTAATCCAACAATATGCATTGTGGGGGCTTTGGTGTTCTTTGCGCTTGGTTGTTTGCTTGCAGTTGTTTAATTATCCAACTAGATGACTTCATCAGTATTCTAAAGTGTGGGGTTTGCTCTTTATTTATATACAATAGCTATGCCCTGTCAATGTTGGTTTGTGTGTGCATGTGGGGGGGGGGGGTAGAGTTGTTCATGGTAGTTCCTTATTGTTTTCTGCTTGGTTGTTTGTCTAGTTAATCCCTGCTTCTCTGGGTGTGGGCTAAATGGATCTCCTTTATTTTATTTTTTAAAAAATTGGTGACATTTGCTCCTATAATCATTTTGGTTATAAATTTAGAAATAAAAAATTAAAATGTGTAAGTGTTGTTTTCCTGTTTAGCAGCCTATAGGAAAACCTTAATTTCTTTGGTTCAAAAGGAGGAGCAATGAAGGATAATATTAACAGTGAAAGCTTTCTAAGAATAAGGGGTGAGTTGAATAATTAAAAGTGCATAAACAGACATCACATCAATTGCTTTGAAGAGAAGAAAATCTTTGCGTTTGATTAGTTAATGCCCTTTGTAGAACCATGATGAGCCCTATAGCAACTATGCTTTCATTAATCAAAGGATATCCTATAATGGTACAGCTTTTTTCTGATTTCCCATAACATTAAGATCCCCCAATACCAATTATCCCCAATGCCTATATGCCTTGGCCCATTTCATCAAGCCATTCGGCACAGGTGCTCTCAGAAGATTCAAAGTGGAACAATGAATTCCCACGCAGTC